TGCACCTTTAAGAGGTTATTTGGAGTCTCAGCGTTTCTCTCATAGCTGTGTAGTAAACTATAGCAAGCAGCCAGTGAGCTTCTTGGGGTTTTGCGTAGCTCTCTCTGAGGGGAACAAAAATCTGTCTGTTTTAAAGGTCACTGGGTACTATGTTATTTATTTGTCTTGTTAGAGTCTTTGTCACCTTGAGCTTGCCAGGAGGTTACTGTTCACTCCTCAGAAATAGCCTGGCACTCCCTGTTAAAGCTCAAATCATTAATTTCTTTCTTCTTCTTTTTTAGTTTGGCTTTTCTACAGCTTACAGAACTGGCTAAAGGATAAATTAACCAATAACTGGTTGGTTTGGGCAGGTAAAATTATGTTTTCCTTTTTTCAGTTTTAATGTAAAAGATATGAAATTACTATCAATCCTTAAGTCAACTCTCCAAATGCAAAACTACTTTTTAAAGAAGTTTAAAGATAAAATGTGCTCGGTATCTGGGGACTGAGGTAGAAATGAGTTTGTGAATTGTGGAATTGAAGCAGCTGTCATGCAGTCATTACGTCCCACTGTTTCCCAGCTCTGAAAGCTAAGCTGAAAAACAGGTGCTTATGGACAGTAGGGAGAGTGTTCAGGGCCACGCCTTCTTCTTCAGGCTATACATTCCTATGCTACAACACTAGAGGACCACCCTACACCCCCACCCCAGACATGCGTGGGTCCTAAACCCCTGCTGCATTTCCTTCCTGTTACACACACAAACCAAACACAGACATGTGAATCCTGACATAAATCCCCCCACGCTCACATGAACAAATGTGAGCATATACTCTCAAATATTTACACCTACACAGACACATACCATGCACACATTTGTATACGGCACAGATGCATGGAAAACTGCAAACGCCCCACTCCCACTCCCAAATGAGGATTCTGTAAAACCGCAGAAACAAGGAAGATGGAAATCTCAGGCAAACTGTTCCATATATATACATAATGTGTGTGGTGGCCCTAAAGGGGGTTCCATCCTTTGCTTCCTCAAGCTCAAGCTAAAGATCTGTCTAATAATGAGATTTCAGTTGATAAAATGGGTAAAATCCTTGCCTTCATACCAAACTGTCAGTTGTTTCGTACTGTTGTGAACATTTGTTGGGAGATATAATGGGGCGATGTGACTATGACCTCTTTATGGACTGCCCTACAGTGGTGCAGTGCTGCCTGCAACTTTTTTCTTTAAAAACTAGGGAATGCTACAAAGTTGGCTACAATATTCACGCTTATGAGAATAAATGTCATATTATTAGATTATTCTCATGTTTTATTCATATTTTGTTATAAAAATAGATTACTCTGGGGCCAGACAGCTCAAGTCACACAACAGGGGAAAAAATGGAGTTTGTTGTCTTTTGTCTCCTGCTGGTTGGACAAAAGTTCACTTTATATAGGTATAATAAGAGTGCAGAAGAAGTTGTGTCCACACTGCTATAAAGGACACATTATTTGTGTGCTGTGTGCATAAATACTCTTAGGTTTCCTGAATAGATTGTGTTCTGTCCTGCGAAAGGTCATTTGAGCCCAGCAAGAGTACTGGCTGGAGTTTAAACAGACCACAGTGTCCTCGACAGACATTACCACCACTCGGAACATACTGCCTTCATAGCAACTCTCAGCTCCATGGCAACAGGCAGCTCAGCCGTCACCGGGCAGCCAGGGCTCGGTGTGAGAGCGTGCTGTGTTTCATATTTAGTCAATGTTCTGCTCTGTATGTTCTGTTCTCCGGTTCAGCTAATGTGGATTAATATTCATAGAAATTCAAGATGAGGATGCCATCTAGTTATGCTTTAAAAAACAATCTGTGTAATTTCAGGTTTACAAGGCAGGGGAGTACAGTACAAAGTCCTGTCAGGAAGATTAATTATTATGGGACTGTTATGGAGGATAATCATGCCCTCACATTTCTGCTCTTTCCACAGCCCTCTACAATACACAAGTCCATTTCCACTATCAGGCATTCAGATCAGAACTCCACATAGCATCCACCCCATCCCATCAGCCTTCAGCATTCTGTCAAAGGAGGCCTTCATAGAGCTCAGTTTGGAGTATGTAACAAACCACAAAGCAGCAGGAAAGCTGAGCATGGAGATGCTATAAGCATATAATCCTAACCTGATGAATTAAGTGAATGTTCTGGTGCAGAAAGACAAACATTGTAGTAATTTGAATTAGGGGAAGGGTTGGATTCAGGTTTTTGAGTGGGTTATGCACTATGGTGATGGGGGAGGGGATGGTGGTTGATTTGGTAGAGAAAAAACAAAACAGGAAGTCGGCAGATAAATTGCAAATTACATTCCATGTGTGTCTTGTGGGTTAACAGTACCAGAACAGAGACTCTAGGGGAACCAAGTGTATTTTGCTCTTTTTCCCCATGGTTCACAGAGACTGGTGTTAGCTTACAGATGGGTCAGGGGAATACATATTTAAAAGTTGGAACTTTTTTTTTCTTGCTGTATGTAGAGTCTTAAAGTGAACTCCTGTTTTGTGACTAATTTAGATATTTAGATATAGTTTTTGTATTTTTTTAAACTCCCATTAATTCTATGAAAAGAAACAGAGTCATAAAAGTGATTTACAGCTGGCTGTCAGCGCAATTTCACAGTTTATTGTATGTTCATTGCTAATACATAGAGACAGGGTTTGTCATTATCTGTCACTTCCCAGGGGACACTTCTCAGGTGATAAAAAGGCAGGTCTAAGAGCTAAAGGGGTTAAGGATCAGATGTTCTGCAGCCCTTTTACTATGGAATGGTATGGCACAGACCAATCTAAAGGGGGAGGTCAGGCTGATCATCTCTTGTTCTTTTTTCGCTTTAAGTTCCTTTCAGGACATTTGTCTTCCGCTGAGTTGGAGCACGCTCGTATCTGTTTAACGTCAGCGCTGTACCACATGAGTGCCTCGATAAGGTCACAACGGGATGTTGACACTGTAGACACAGACATTTTGTGCACTCACCTGTGTAAAAGAAGAACATTCATTTGCAAGATAGTGCCCCAAATGTACCAATGCTACTATACTACAACTGATTGAAAAGTATAGGGTGTCAGACACATGACCTCCAACAAAGATCCAGGGCAGACTTCATGCTACACTAAAATCTGTGGAATGCAACTTAACCTGCTCGTTGCAGTTGTTCTCTTTGTTTTCCAACACACTTTTTCTTGTGTATATCCAAACAGTGATGGTGAAGACCTATGAGCAGTTGCAATGACTAAAAAACCTGCGCTAAATACCTGAGACACACTTTTTTCTTTAAAAAGAGTAGATAAAGTGTTTGCAATTTGCCTGTGAAAAGTGGACAGTGAACTACAACCCCCCCAAGGGGCATTATTTCACTGGGGATGAAGGAGAGAGTACTTCTGGGAGAGAGCAACTCCTAAAGGATGAAGGGGGAGAGTGGGAGCTTACTCCATCAATTAGAGAAGGTCAGCTAGGCCAGGTTTTAGCCAGTGGTCAGCCAATAAAGTAGACATGATGAAAGATAGCACATTGCTGTGGAGTACAGGAAAATAGGGAGGAGATGGAGCTGCAGTTTCTTGATAAAGAAAGGAAGCAAGTACAAAAAAGCCTGAGAGGAACTGGGGTGGAGGGAGATTTGAGAGAAGGAAAGGCTGCTTTAAAAAACTCTGGCCTGTTCCATGAACTCACTAAGGAGATTAAGGGTTTAATAAACTTCCCATTGGACGCCAGAAGTTTGAGCAATAGGCAGCGGAGTGAGGCAAACGGTGGCTGTCACAAGAGTGCTCATGTGAGGAGCGAGCCATGTATATCATGCAACTCTTAGATTAAAAATACTCCAAATATAAACTGAAAAAATTAAAACAGAGATCATTTAGCTGGAAGAAACTCCTCTGATGGTTTCTTGATGTTGATAAGCATATGGAAAAGTTAAATATCTTTTTTTTTTTAGAGTCAGAGCATTCAAGAGTATTTCTGATGTGTGAAATGCCTGATTCAAATTTGCTGTCCGCTACGAGCGGAAATCCTTTCATATTGAGTTTTGTTTCCTTTTTTTTTTAAAGCAATCCACTCGCCAGTGCAGCAGTGTATGTTTGTGTGTGTGTGTGTGTGTGTGTGTGTGTGGCAACAAAAAAAAACAAAAGCTACATACGTCCGTAGCTTTTGTTTAGTGTTAACAAGTCTTCCTCTGTAGAGTGACTTGCTGATTCTGTCAGCCAGCAGAGCGATAGAGAGCAGGAACAGGAGGTCTGAAAGAGTGACAGGGAGTTATAGTGAGAGACGAGGTTTTCACACCATTAACCACAGTTTACAGAATGTCTGCTAGAGGTCCAAATATATATTGATACCAAAGCTGGTACTGGTATCGGATCGATACTAGTGTGATAGGATAGGATACTTTATTTCTCTTCCCCAAGTTCAGTATTCACCCCACTGAACTAATTTAGGTAAATAATTTTCGTGGAAATGAAAAAGTATACCTCAAACGTGCACAATGAAAAAATCCTATACAGCCTACAGCACATTTAAACAACAGAAGTTGACATAAAGTGCTTTAGAGATAGGCACGTCTACATTTCAGGTCTCCTAAAAAAAATTAGCTTCAAATTACATTAAAAGAGATGAAAAGCTGAAAGGTGTGTTTTGTTGTATCAACTAATTATTGTGGGAAATGAAAATCGCACCGATCACGCGGTCATTAAAATGTGTAGAGAATTTCCAAATTGATGATACATTTCATAAATCATAGCACACTGCTTCTCCCTGTATAAGCTGCCTTTACAAGTATTGGTATTGGTATCAACAAAACGGGCTCTGTATTTACTTGGTTTCGGATTGATATTAAAATTCGCTGTATCGCACACCACTAGAGTCTGCAGCTCCCTGTAGTTAAATGCACTTGCTTCTGAAGGATGTCGAGATCTGACAGGAAGGGAGGGACACCACTAGGGGCAGGGCAGCGGAGCGAGCATGAGGCGCCGACACCTAGGCAGCGACTTTGCACAGAGGGGCTGTTAATGGGCAGGTCTCTGTGAAGCAGCAGCCTACCTGTTGGAGCTCATTGCGGCAGAGTTGCCACCCGGACCCCATGCTCGTTCGCTGATCGTGGACCTGCGAGAGCTGAGTGCACCTAACAAGGGAGAAAACAACGGAAACATGTCTGAAAGACTTTTACTCTGCGCTGTTTTGGCCGTGTGCCACTGGACGCAAACTTGCACTGGATTTAATATAGATGAACGGTTTCCTGTGATCAAAGAGGGGAAAACCAGGGGGAGCTTGTTTGGGTTCTCTGTAGCTTTGCATGAGCAGACGGTGGGCTCCAGACAGTATCTGTAAGTATAGTCGGATAATGCATTTTTTTTAAATTTAGAGGTAATATGTCGGCAGGCAAACAGTCGTGGTAAAGCAACACTTTCTGTTCACCTCGTACTGGGCACGGTTAACTGCTCATACGATACGGAGACGCTTTATTGTCACCTGTCGAGCGTTTCTGTGCTCCACTTACATACTACCTGTGAGAGAAACAACCTGCTGGAGACCACGTCTGCAGATTTAGTTAGACCAAACCAGACATTTTTTTTTAGTATAGTGAGAATATAAGACAGGTGCTCTACGCTCTTTGGAAGTAATTCGACGAAGTTCGTACCCGGCGGCGTTGTAAATCTTTGCCGTGCACTGTCAACGTGTAGAAAACGTGTCTCATAACACGTCCGGCCTGATGTGACCTGTTTTGAAAGCAAAACTGTTTGTTTTTTTTTTTTTTCAGTTTTACACGATCACCATATTACTTGACTTTTACACAAATTACATTTCTCTCTTTGTTTTATCTCACTGTCAGTTTTTCTTCTTCTTACTTGCTCCGTTTGTCTTTTTTTATTCATTATTGCAACAATAACGAACGAAACTGAAAATCGCATTGTTTAAAGTGAATAGATGGGATTTATTTTTAATAGTTTCTGCTGCTGGTCCAGCTGTTGGCACACTCACAAACACACTTGTTTTTAACCAGAATTCACAATTCTCTGAACACAGATAACTCGTGGTTTGTAAACCACGTGTATGCTTCTAGTTTGGAAGCCAGTCCTGGTACAATAAGAGCATTTTTATCGTGATGTGCATCTCAGTGCATTGTGATTGAACTTTCAGTCATGATGTGGGTGGCTGTATTATATTCAGTTATTAAATATTTGTAAAATAAACATTTGCACATCTACTCACTCTGTATTTGGAATTTGGGTGGAACTATTGTTGCCGCTATCGGCTAGAGAGAACTTGGGGTTGTTTCCTATTAAACCTTTTACTGGCCTGTAACACTTCAAAACTTAACACCAGTGTGGAGCACTTGCAAGGATTTACATAGGAAGTGACTGCTTTTGTATCTGTTGATGCTCAGGGATGTCACATCTTTGCTGTCTTCGTGGCATATCTAATGAGAGCTCCTCAAACTGTGTTACTGTGCGGTATAGGATTTCACTCGGTCAATTAGAGCAGCCCCTTCATCCATCCGTTTTCATGATCACACAGCATGTTTGTAATGTGCTGTTATCAGTGTCGTTCTGCTTTGAAGAGTAAAGCATGACGTTTCAGATCAGAGCCCACTTCCTCTGTGCTCTCATCAGTGAAGTTAGATATAAGGTTTATTTCTCATTGCAAGTCATGCAATGACAGATTAGATTAGAAGACCAAACTCACTCTCATGTCTGAGCTGTAAGTATAAACCTAGATGGTTCTGCATAAAACTGGAAAAGGGAAGAAATATATGTCTGCATGAATTACCTGAATAACATACTCCTGTACTGCCAAGCTTAAGTCCATATGTGCTGGTTATTGGCCAGTGTTAGCTATGCTGCTAGCTCTGTTTAACCCATAAAAACTAACGTTACTGCAATATTAATATAATTGTAGCCTAAATCTCACACTGAATATACGTTTTCTGCTTAAACGTAAAGATTCACATCACACAGCAGGGCATGTCATGTTGTGGGCATGCAGTGTAGCACACATCTGCAGGGAAAAAACACAGTGCTGTTGATGTCACCTATTTCATCTTACAAGACATAAGTGAAACCCGCTTTGATATGTGGTTTGGAGATAGTGGCGCAGAGTGCATGACTCTGTAAAGACATAACAGTGTGCTGGTGTCTGCAATGTCTTAGAGGAAGGGATTTTAAAATAAGTTTCTTTTGTGGTTGCACGTCTGTCTCGATGAACCTCACAGCTTTTAGCGACATATTTTCTCTGGCTAGAACTGCAGTGTGAATATCTGAAAAACACCAAGACGTATGCACCAGTCATGACATGTACAGAGAAGAACACTGTTCTTTGTTGTCCTTGTGAGTCAGAGTTCAGGATACCAGTCGAGTCAAATGGCTTCCACTCCCATTTCTGGAATAAAGAGTTTCGTTTGTTGCTGTTTTTTTTTTAAATTGAAACCTTCTAAGATGCAGGTTATTATCCAGTTATACTAAATGATTGCTGAGCTGAATTTCAACAATATATTTTGAATATGGGTTGCACATCCAATTAGTAGATCAGCATTGCTTCTTGTTGGGGATGGGCTTTACCCAAATAATCCAAGAACTACCTGAAGCCAATTTGTACCAACTATTCACCTCCCCACTCCCCCTCTCTGTTTGGATCACCCATTTAAGGTCTCAGAGAGATTTTTTTTTCCCGAGAAGGTCTTTTTTTTCTCTCTGTTGTTTCAGGGAAGGGGGGGAAACAGGGCAGTCAGCTGGCCACCTATTGGCTCTTCCAGTCCCCTGACCTTATGGTATTTTAGGAATGTATTACTCTTCTCTGCACAGTTACAACCTGCCAGGTTTCAGGTTGAGACAAGACAGGAGGGAGAATGATTATCCAAGAGAGAATACACATAAAAACTCCAAATATTTGACTCAAATTGATCAAAAACTGTTTCATTTTACAGATGAAAGCTGAAAAAATAACACATTATAACACAGTCTTTTGACTGATGAATATTTGATCAGAGTTGACGTGGCTGGGATCGAGGATCATCCCTGTCTGACTGCAGCAGCCAGAGGCTATGAAAGTCAACGATTTAATTTGACGGGGCCTTCCCCTTTCTGCTGCGAGGTGCAAATTAAACTGGTCCACCCACTGTTCAGTTAGAACATGCACAGGAACATACGTCACCTTTCGTCATATGTTTCAATAGAAGTAAACTTTTCTGGCAAACCCTTTTTTTTTCAAAGCACCCCCGTGATTTTACTTTTTCAATCTTTTATCACAACTTTTTGTGTCGTTTACGTGCTCCAGTACAGTATTGTGCAATGGGTTGTAAGCTCTGTAAGGGCCTTATACACTCAATAGAACTGTTCACTGGACTGATCAGTGATAAAAGCCTGTGGGCCGTAAACGTGACTGTAATCCAACATTCCTGCTAATACACATATGATAGTGGTCTTTGTCATTGAACGAGGTCTATCAAAGGCCTAGTGTCATGCCTCGATGCAACACTTTCATGTCTATCCCATGCAAGCCAGTAGGTTTTACACTGACACAGAATCATTTTCAAATAGAAGATCAAATAGAAATTTGGAGTAACAAGTAGGTTAAAATGGGGTTAAAGTGGTTTTATGCTGAGCGACTGCTGTCGTTATAAAATCCCTTTACCATGGTTACGGGCCCTGATCTTAACGCAGTTATTTGCTGTATCTGATCAGCTGGTAATGACATGAGTTGCATTCTGTGTAGCAGCACAAAAACTGCTTCTAAAACATGTTGAAATGGATCCCAGCACGGCTCGGGGTTCCCGCTAATCTCCACAGAGGAGATTGGTTATGGTGGCGCTTTCATTAGAAATACCTGCAGTGAGGACTGTTTTTATCTTAACAAAAGTGTAAGAGATCCCCTCCCTCTTTCCTCCCCCGGTTGCATAAATGCCCTCAGCTGCACAGAAAAGAAGCTAGCCTCCAGGCTACTGGGAGCTACCTGTAGCTTGAAAAACCCATATGCTCCAGTACCTCTCTGTCTTCATGCCATTTTTCACCTTTGAAGAGAGAAATGATCCACAAGTATTGGATTACACTTGGTATTTTTTTTAGGAAATGTGCGAGTGCTGCAACTTGTTGTGCGTCCGTAAAATACAAATAAGTGCTGGTATAAATATAGGATGTTCCAACGCTTATTACTGATAAAAGGCTAAATAAATATTTATAAATAAATACATGTATGAAATGAATATGTAAACAAAGAGAGATAAAAAAAAAAAATCTGGCGTTGGAAAATTTCCTGGCATTAGCAGGTAAAGGCAGATGTTTCATGCACACCTGCACTTCTTTTATATAAGCTGAGTAATATCTGAGAGAAACTTGGCACTGAACATGCACGCCAACATGCGTTGCTGTCAGCTCTGTTACAGCTGTGTGGCTGACTGTCCATCTGTGTCTCCCACAGCTGCTTCCCTTCTTTTACATAAAGCAATGGACAACATTTTAATAGTAATACTGTTACTAATACTGTGAGCCTCTTGTGATTTCTGGCTTCATGGTTCACTACTGAGGTATGGCGTCACTGAGAAGCATGTGGTCAGGTTTAGTCCAGCGGTATGTGTATTCCTGTTTACATGTATACATTTGTATGTACACCGTTCAGGCATAACGTTATGACCCCTGCTTCATATTGTGTTGGTGCCAAAACAGCCCTGACCTATCAAGTTGTGGACTCCACTTGACCCCTCAAGGTGTAGTGTGGTATCTGGCACCAAGATGTTAGCAACAGTGTTGCAAGGTGGGGCATCCACGTTTGTCCAGCACATCCCACAGATGGGTGATTGGATTGACATCTGGGGAATTTGAAGGCCAAGTCAACACCTTAAACTCATTGTTGTGCTACTCAAACCATTTCTGAACCATTTTTGCTTTGAGGCACTGTGCATTATCCTGCTGAAGAGGCCACAGCCTTCACAGGATTCAGTTTCCATGAAAGGTTGTACATGGTCTACAACAATGCTTAGGTATTATTGTAGACCATAGGTGTCAAACTCTGGCCCGCGGGCCAAATTTGGCCCGCAGCCTAATTACATTTGGCCCACGAAGCCATACCAAATTACTATTAGAGCTGGCCTACTGGTATTATACAGCTAATATATATATTGTTTAGTATTAAGCTTTGCTTGTTCCATATTCAGTTTTTCAGCAAAATGTGTTTTAGTCTCCAAAAACATGTTGGAGACTCCAATGGCCAAATGGCTTTTGGCCATTGGAGTGTGAATGTGTGTGAATGTTAAATAGAAAGCACTTAGAGCATAGAAAAAAGGGCTGGGTGAATCAGGTAAGTTGTGTGAAGCACTTTGAGTGCTCTGATAGGA